ATATAAAATAATATAATAAATAATACAGAAATTAATATAATTAAATCATATATATAAGCCAAACCAAAGAAAACATAGTCATATAATTAAATACACATATAATAACGACCGATACGAGGAAAGATGAATTATAGGAAGAGAGCGTGTAGTCGCTAAGCGACGAAACAAGAACAATGGGAAGCCCCGGAGTCAAAGAGTGATAAGATAGGGACGAAACAAAATCTATCAAGAAAATAGGATAAGGGCTCAAGAATAGTCTCACGGATGAAATCATGATATGCGTCTAAATTATACGTTATATTCTCACTGGTAGGAACTCGGGACCGTGACCTACATGGGCCACCACTAAAACCTGTCACGCCCCACTTCCCAAAATACTGGGGAATCAGAACATGAATAAGCCCGCGACATATTAGATTAAGCAGAATAAATAAAAATAAACATTCCTCATCAACCTAATACGCTAAGTGTCAAGAAATAAATACAAAGGCATAGGTCCCCGATCACAGTTAGCAAGAATATAATAAATAACACAGAATAAAATAATACATATCACAAATGAATATCATCCAAGACATAAAGTTTGGGTCAAACATGCCCATATACAAAATTGAACAACTAAAAACTGAAGAAATATAGAAATACACTGATCAAAAGGAAATGAAAGTGCTACAAAAATAAACTGAAAGGAATAACTAAGATTCGGTTTCTTCTTCTGCTCCGTCCGCTAGGCACTCCTGCTGAGAATACTCGGGCTCTGACGTATCTCCAAGCTGGGCATGTCATTCCTCTAAGTCTGACGTACACCAGATAAACAAGTGTACGTCAGCATGCATGGCACACGGCAATACCCCACAAAAGAAAAGAACGAACGAAAACCCAATGCGAAAAATGATATAACCACAGAAATGATAAAGAAACGTGCAACTGGAAATCTAACAAAATCAACTATAAATTCACTACTAAAACATGATAAACATAAAGGTAACTACATACGGTAACCGAGTCAAATACTAACCATCCTAAAACTCAATGGTCCACCTCTCAAATAGGTCCAAGTTCACATTACAGGAAGGCTGACTATTCATAATCCCCTACGCGCATCCAATCCCGCGAAACAAGCAGCTAGAGGACTACACACAATCTGATCTCGGCCTGGTCCGAACACACGCAAAGCTCAGGTGACGAAACAGGTCACGAACCCAAGTGGCGAAAAAGGTCACTTGGTCCAACAAACCAACCCTAGGACGAAATAGGTCACTGGTGCGAGCCTGGAAGCTAAGTCAACAATCACATTCGATCATGCAAACCAAGACTTTCCTATCCCAACTCTTCTCATTCTTTCTAAGTCAACAATCAAAATCCCTATTAAAACTCTGGTTTACCATCTAATTTCAGTCAACACACACATACATGTTACTAGGTCTGTTCATGACGCACGAGGCCACAAAGTCATGAACTACTAATGGTTCTCAAACACAACAATGAACAATAACTAAGTCTAACTGATTCTATGTAATAACATGATGACAAGTCAAATATATTAAAATAAATTACAAAATATAAAATGTGATTATGAATAGTAAAATCATGCATGCAATCTAGTTTCATTAATATCTTGTTATTTGAACTTCTAAACTACTCATAAAAATTATCAGTAGCTAGTTAACATCTAATATAACTACAATTAAAAAGAAAATTAAAAACTGTGATTATTTTACGCATGAAATATCACAGTTTTCAATCGTCGTGATCATAAATTTATTAATTTCAAAAAATTCTTTCTCGTTATATTAATCAAAAACTAACTCCTTTTCCAAAATCAACTTCTTTTCTTATAATAATAATTTTAAAATAAATAAAAAAATATTCCTTTTATTAAAAGCATCTCATAATTAATATCGTTCATCAACAAACGCATGCAAGTAATAAAATATCATAGTCTAATCCATGCAATCAATTACTAATGGATATAAATAATGGAATATCAAATCAAGGGAAGCAGGATCTTGCCTGCGAGGCCAAGGGACCTGCGAATGAGGCGGCGACGCCATTGCTTGTTGTTCGTTGTTCGGCGACACACGCAGCGGACCGTCGACTGATTCTTGTGGAGCCAGGATGGTAAACATCGTGCGACAGAGGAGCTCGCGCGAATCTAAGAAGAGGGGTAAAGCGACGAGGATCTGACGGTGGCAAGGGCGGTACAGGAGCGTGGGTCGGGGTCTGACAAATTCTGGCGGGGTCGGCGACGCTCGGCGACTGGGCAACGGCATGGCTTCGAAGAGGAGGAGGGTTGTCCGACGCAGTGGCACAGACGTCGGTGGCGGTGGCTCGACGGTGAAGTACGGCGGCGTTGAAGGAGGCGGCACGTCTGCCTTGTTAGGCGACGAGGCGGTTGTAGAGGCGGGAGGAAGGCTTGGGCCGGCTTGGGTGGCACGGGTTGGGGCTGTTGGGGCTTGGATAATGGGGAGAGCGGCCGATATGAGGGTTGGGGGCTGGTCGGGTGGTGCTGAGAAGTTGCGTGATGGCTGGACGCGTGGGGAGGAGGTGGCGGTTCGTGGGTCGCCAGATGAGCGCGGAGTTGAAGCGAAGAAAGAGAGAGAGAGAGAGAGAGAGAGAGAACGAGAGAGAGAGGAGAGGAGACAGGGGGGTGCCGCGATTTGCGTGAGTGGTGGCAGTCGCGGAGAGCCGGCACGGGTAGGGTGGCGATCAAGGGTGGTATGGGTGGCGGTATTGATCGGAGATGGGAAAAGGAAGAGAGGAGAAAGAACACGCGACGGCGGGACAGGCGGTTTTGTTTTGAAAAATTATTAAAAATAATATTAATTATGAAATAAATTAAATAATTTTGTGAAAATTATCTACACATTAAAACATACTAGTTATACTAATACGACAGATAATATGCAACAGTAGTAGTAATACAACAAATTGTACAATTAAACAAGAATAATTAATAAAAATATATTTACTTATATTTAAAATCAAATAATTATGGAAAAATTAACTATACAATAAAACATACCAGTTGTACTAATACAACCGATAATATGCAACAGTAGAAATAATAAAACAAAGTATACAATTAAACAAGAATAATTAAAAAAATATAATTACTTACATTTAAAACAAATAATTATGGAAGAATTATCTACACAATGAAACGTATCAGTTATACTAATACAACCATTAATATGCAATAGTAGAAATAATACAACAAATTATACAAATAATACGTAATTAATAATACAACGTATTATACGAAATAATACGTAATAATAATAATACAACATATTATTTAAAATGATATGTAATAGTATCGATAACACAATGGATAAAATCCAAAATTTTTTATTGCACTAAATAAATTTATAAATATCTAAATCATTTAAATAAATATAAAACTTGGATTTTTAAATCATAAAAAATTTTAGGAAATCGAGAAAAATATAAATACTCTTTTAAAAATAATAATTAAATATTTTAAAATACCAAAAAATTATTTTAACTAGTATCAAAATCCACAATCATTACAAATTTACCTTATTTACTATTATAATTCTTAGTTCAAGTAATACTATTAAAATAATTATATTGTCTATATACTACAAAATATTTATGTACTTTAATATTTAATTATGCTCTTACATAAGCTAGTACTATAAATATTTTATAAATTTTTATTATAATATCATTAACAATTAATAGTACTATTATTATTATTAAATATTTTTTTGTAAAAATTCAGTTTTCAATCATTACTAAGTATTGGCTATTTAGTATCATGTAATAATCTTTGAGAAAATGAATAAAAATAATATTAAATTATTATTTATTTAATAATACAATACTAAATAAATAGTATATACTTCGTAATTCATGTGATATTATTAAAATAATTATACTATTTATGTTATTTAAAATTTATTCTATTTATTTTTATTGCTCAATGAATTATAGTATAATTCTTAATAGTATTTAGTAATATATTTTCTATTTATAGTATTATTTTAATTAGTTCATTATAGTTCATAAATAATAATAATTTAATTTGTTACTGCTAATAATTGTGTATACTTATTTTATAAATTATTTTATTTTCTTATTTTTAAACAATTAATAGTTATAATATTATTCATAATTATAATTATTTAATAAGGGGTTATATTTATTTAATAAAACATTAATTAGAGATAATAGCATAGTTATAATTTGAAAGCGCAAAAAAGAAAATTAAAATCTTAGCACGTCAATCCTTTTTTTATAGTAGTATAAATTTGAGATTTTATTGAATGTTGAAATCTTAAAAATAAATTTCCATATTTATACAAAAAATATGTAAAATTAGATTTTTCAATAAGTAATTTATTTTTTCATCTAAATGCTATATCATGTTGAAAATTTGCATATAAAAACCCATCTATAAAATTCTCAATGTCATACATCATCTTAAATTATATAGTAAACGTAGTTATAATTTTTAGATTTTTAAAGGTTCTAAAAAATAAATATGCGTTCTAGGTATACCAAAATTTGTGAATTTTATAGTAAAGTGCTAAGCTTTATAAAAGCATCATAATTTGTAAAATTTACAAGTAAACCATAAAATTTGCACAAACAGTCTTAACATATATATAATTCTATAGAATAAATCTGAAATTAGCATAAAGAACCCTAAAAATTTCATAAATTTACAATAAGAGCACCAAAGCTTTAAAAATTTAGAGATTGATAAACTTCATAATGAATCTCATTAAACTTTATATTTTAGTCTCAGGTTTGAATGATGAGAAATTTGTACATAAGCCATCAAGGTTTTATTTCCAAAATCAAACTTTATAATAAATCATAAAAAAATAATATAAGAAAGGTTTAGAAAGACAAAATAAGTACATCCATATGCAACACACATGCACCACACTCATTTAATTAAAAATGCCTGGGCATGAATACGTTGATAGGAGCTCACCACAGCAAGCACGCAGATTCTAGCTCCATCAGAATGCAACTTACCAACAATCAAGAATTACGAGATATATGTTACACTGATCCTGTTACGTCCTTTGGTACTATATAGAAATGTACACCTTAATTTGTGAATCAACACTATAACTAATGTTTCTAAAAGCAAGATTAAAGAACATGACAAACTACCCGTGTAAAGTTCTTAGCAGTTGTACAAGTTCGAGTTCCCATCGGTCTTTAGGTTATTATTTTGTCGGTATAGCTGTAGTCCGCAGTCATCCTCAACAAAAGCATATGTTCAATGTATATCAAATCGCACAATGTTTCCTTCCTCCAATTACAACACAGTGACACCAGGCGAGAGAAGGATGATGATATGATGTATCACAGCTCGCAAGCATACGTGACAAAGATCCTTGCTGAGAAAGACAAGTGGTCAGTCTATGATGGGGTTGCCTCACGCGTTTGGTACTCGCTGCTGAACAGTGATATCCTTTCATGCTCACCAGAGGTGTCATAGCCGGAGCTGAACCCGTCACTATCAAACCCTGATCTATGGAACATCCGGATCTCTGCAGAATATTGAGCGGAGTTGTAAATCTGGCTCTGTCCGAATTTCATGCCATTGGAGAGGTCTGAAGATTCACACTCAATGTCCAAAGCTCTTGCCACCTGAATGAACAAAAGTTACAGTTAATTAGTTAACTGTCATGCATTTGGGAAGGCAAGGAATATATATATATATATATATATATATATATATATTAGGAAGGAGAGAGAGAGGAGAGAGAAATAGAGAAAGAGAATGGGTATGCTTGGTACGCCTGAAAGACACAAAAAGTTTGTTGCTTCGTAGGGTGAGTGTGATAACCCCTCCACTTATTCAACCCATGGTTGAATATCCCCATGCACTTCTCAAACCGATGTGAATGTGGTCGCCTGCCATTGTTGAATGAAATGCGAGGGGATGTGGTGTCACCTCACTAGCTAAGGCATAGAATTTGTGGGGGCCTTGGGTAGCCCGAAGCATACCCTATTTCCTGGGCATATACTATATAACTATAGTATATAGTATATGTATAGTATATATATCATAGGTATATATATATATATATATATAATAGTCAGAGCAGATTCACTTACGGCTAATGCAAAAAAAACCCTGAACTTTGGGGAATTTTGGACAAAAACCCCTTATCTTTATAAACCATAGAAAACCTCCTGAAATTTCAAAATCATACTAGACCCCGATGAACTAGTGGAAATTCTCATAACAATGTAAATGCTTAGAGTAAAAAGGTTTTATGACCAGTAGATATGGTTAAAATCGTCTAAGATTTGTCATGTGCAAAGCACGTGACAACTTAAAGTAACTGCAGGCGATAATCGTACAGTGAGACGATTTAGGGGTTCTCAAAGATTTATGAAGTTCAGGGGGGTTCTTGAAATTAACCCATTAATTAATTATTAATTGGGAACTAGAAATGTGAAATATATCAAGGACTTTAGTTCCTACATTAATCACAGAATAAACTTGATGTTGGTACCTGGGCCATGCGAGGACGCTTAGAAGCTGCATGGCGAACACAAGCAGCAGCTGCTTCAATCATTAACAGCATCTCCCTCTTCACGAAATTCTTCTCAAGCCTTGGGTCTACAAATTCTTCGCACTCTCCTGTCTCAAGAGCACGCACCAGATGTGGCCGAATCTGAGAGAGAGAGAGAGAGAGAGAGAGAGAGAGAGAGAGAAATAAGGATGCCATATTATTCAGTATGAAATTTGAAAAAAAAAATCTCCTCACAATCAGGTAAATACTGCTCACAAGATTCCACATTAACCTAACCTTGGTCCTAAAAAACTATACAATTCAGTTGATGCATTCTTGATTATGTAGTTTTATTATCTTAGGATGAATAGAAAAAGATACAATTTGTGTGTGTAATCAACTCGTGTGAGTTTTCTTTCCATTCAATTGAAAATTGTTAGCATATAAGGTGATGATGTCTAATTGTTGAGAGTAGGGGAAGAATAATTTTCAAAGAAACTTTATGACAAAGAAACCTGGATGCATACGCATCTTAAGAACATGAACTTTACACACACACACACGCACACACAAAAAAATGAAAAGAACAGGAAAAAAAAGAAAGAAAGAAAAACAGAAGTTTGACAAAATTTAGTAGAGCAAAACGAAAACACAGCAAGCAGAATTGCGCCCAATGTCTCCAACATGGAAACTACTCATAGATAGAGAGTATTTGCACGTAACTTAGAATCTTAAGAATCATGAGATAAATTCAAAGAAGTATCAATGTTGCACAAATTAAGAAACCCAATCAGGTTTTAAAATAAACTATAAAATTAACTTGTGATGGTGAGAATTAACAGGTTCATGTGAAAGTTAATAGACAATAGGAATAGTCAATAGGTTCATGTGAAAGTTAACACATAGTTGTGATAGTTAACAGACGACAAGAAAAGTTAACAGGTTCAGGTGAAAGAGAGAGAGAGAGAGAGAGAGAGAGAGAGAGAGAGAGAGAGAGAGAGAGAGAGAGAGAGAGAGAAATAAGGGTGCCATATTATTCAGTATGAAATTTGAAAAAAAATCTCCTCACAATAAGGTGAATACTGCTCACAAGATTCCACATTAACCTAACCTTGGTCCTAAAAAAATTATACAATTCAGTTGATGCATTCTTGATTATGTAGTTTTATTATCTTAGGATGAATAGAAAAAGATACAATTTGTGTGTGTAATCAACTCGTGTGAGTTTTCTTTCCATTCAATTGAAAATTGTTAGCATATAAGGTGATGATGTCTAATTGTTGAGAGTAGGGAAGAATAATTTTCAAAGAAGCTTTATGACAAAGAAACCTGGATGCATACGCATCTATAAGAACATGAACTTTACACACACACACGCGCACATGAACTTTACGCATCTATAAGAACATGAACTTTACACACACACACACACACAAAAAAAAATGAAAAGAACAGGAAAAGAAAGAAAGAAAGAAAAACAGAAGTTTGACAAAATTTAGTAGAGCAAAACAAAAACACAGCAAGCAGAATTGCGCCCAATGTCTCCAACATGGAAACTACTCATAGATAGAGAGTATTTGAAAACACAGCAAGCAGAATTGCGCCCAATGTCTCCAACATGGAAACTACTCATAGATAGAGAGTATTTGCACGTAACTTAGAATCTTAAGAATCATGAGATAGCAGAACAAAACTTTTAGTGCTACACAAAAAAAAAGAGTCTGTAAGCTACATGATCGAAAGAATACCAGAAGTGATCACTTCTTTTAAATAAATCAAAGGGAAATAGTTGAAAGTCGAGAAATGCTTCTGAAATACAATGTAACCTTAGCATATAAATGGCAGTGAACATTTCTACCCACTAACAAAATCATGGAAAATAAATTTCTTAGACAGCTAGAAAACTTGCCATACCTTTATGAAACATGTCAAGGGAATTGCTGTAGTTGAAATGATAATGCTGAGGTATGTAAGGATTGATTAAAAAATGGAGACAGGAAAAGAAATGACTGCATTCCTACTTTAGATAAAACTTCAACCAGGTATAGGAGTCCAACACTCAATTAAATTAAGGGTTAATTGCACATAGATCCCCTGTAGTATCGCTGTTTGAACTGTTGTAGTTTCATTGTTGCAGATGGATCCCGGGGATAATTGCACATAGACGATCTAAGTTACGTTTTTTTTTTACTCTTTTATCCTTGGCGAAAGTTTGGTAGATATTGCCCCAGTGTGAAATTGGTGAATCCATGTGAAGATTCTAAAATGATTAACCCAGGGGGTCTATCTGCAACAATGAAACTGCAGGTATAGCAAGTTCAAAACAACGATACTACAGAATGTGTACGTGTACTTAACCATTTAATTAATGGCAGTTTCGCATACTATACAAAGAAATTTGGTTATGTACAACTAATGTAATTGGCATGCCAGTATGTCAGTTTTTGTAAAATATTCTTTTGCCAATCAAGTAAACTGTGAAAGTTTCAGACAACCTGGCTCAGCTCAAGGCTGTAACAGGGACACAAATGTAGTTCCATTCTGAATATATAGAAAAGCTTTCCGGGACAACAATGTAGAGAGTAAAACTACAGAACTTAAATTTAGTTGAGGATAGTGTCATAATTCTCTTGTTCACTTTAACAGAGTATTAATGACATAAGGAGGAATTTTTACATACCCATTCAACTAAACTCTCATCCCCCAATTGTTGAGATGGGTCAACAGGTCTGCGACCTGTAATAAGCTCTAGAAGAACGACCCCAAAAGAAAATACATCAGATCTATCTGTTAACTTTCCACTGGATGCATATTCTGGTGCCATATACCTGAAAAGGTAAATTAAGTGTCAAAAAAGAGCATCATAAGTATAAACGTGACAAGCACTGTATGTACACATTCTAATAACTAGTATCAAATTGTGTCATAACTGTGTATCAGCATTCCGAAAGGAAAATACTCTTAAGAATCAAAAGATGCATACTGTTCATAAAAGATATAAATAATTTTTATCTTAAATGCATTGGATAATTTTTAAAAAGATGTTGATATCTAGAACTTTCAATCAGCTGTGTCTTCATGATAGTTCACAAGTTTATCAAGCCATTAAAGATGTATCCTTTCACTATTTGCGTAGGTTTGCATATGGCCTGTGTCCGTGGACAAAATGTGCAATCCATCCTAAAAGAAAGATAAGGAGGAAAAGAGCTTCGAGAACCCCAGGTGTCTAGAAACAATTTTTCATTAATGAAACCTAAACTAAAAGAGACATAGCAGATTGACATGTTGAAAAAACGAACTAACAACAGGAATAGGAACAACGACAACAACAAACCCACTTAGAAAACAAGAAATCAATAATAAATTAGTTAAATTCTCTTAGATCTCTCACGCATTACAAGGAACAAAGTAGAAAATAAAACTTTAGATACTTAGCAAGGAATCCCCACACAAGACTTCCCAGCCAATCTAAAAAATAATAACATAACAAACAATATCAGTGTTTTCAATTGATCTAATTGATATGAATTATCATAATCTAAAGAAATAACTAAAGAAATTTTGCATCGTGAATGTGAATTAGCATACTGGCTACCAATTTAATGGCAATTGATAGTACATGTTTTCCATTGTCATTCCACATGCTCTCCCCAGTGTGGTGAGACATTTGAGTACAGCTAGCTTACAGACCATTTTAATAAAGAGACCGAAGGAGGCAATGGTTGACATGTGAATAGTATATCAGGAAACGCGAGTTACAATACAAGGCAGGGAGCACTCTCCTTTTCTCACCCAAATTCTCTTCTCTTGGCTAAGAAGAATGTACATGGGACATAGAACAACAAATGGCGACAGACTATATATATATATAAAGAGAGAGGGAGCAATATAGAGGAACTTGATACCAAGTACAAGTTATTATGCTTGGTAGTGAGGTGGTTCATTTCCATCCACTCACTCAAATGGGGGACCACATTTACATAGGTTGAAGAGCAGATGGGAATGAGACACCTCACTACCAAGCACAAATTTGTGCTTGATACCAAGTTCCTATTATATGCTTCTCATCCACTCATTTAAAGGTGCCCATTTAAAAATGATTCTCAATTGATTATCCACCTATTAAATGAGTGGATTAAAAATGGTCACATCACTACCAAGCATACCCATTACTCTCTCTCTCTCTCTCTCTCTCTCTATATATATATATATTGTGAGTAGAATAGCTTATAACTAACTTCTATTTAAGATTCAATTCTTCATTATAAGTGATCAGAAATCTCCATCTTTTACACCATAGTTTAAGATCAAGAAAATATACAGAGCTTTAATTACACTCAACATCTTGGATTTCGATTATTTCTATTGGTCATTTATGAAATTTAGCATATGTCCCCATAAGGAAAATTACCTACACCATTGCTTCATATAAGGTAAATTTCACATACCCTAACCCAAAAAATAAAAATAAAGATAAATGTAAAAATAAAATTTGGCGCACTTAGGGATAACACCAAAAACTTTTAAAAACATCAATTAACACCAAAAGGTTGTCAGTTAAAATTTGGCACACTTAGGGATAACACCAAAACTTTTAAAAACGTCACATAACACCAAAAGGTTGTCAATTAATCCCCCCACTCCATTTTGTCAGATAACCTACCAATATGACACAACTTTTTTGGTGTTCTGTGATATTTTAAATAGTTTGTGTTTATCCCTAATGGGCCAAAATTTTAAGGGGTTAACTACCCAAAAAATTTTAAAAACGCATAGTATATCTTTGCGCATAGGAGAAACTTCTAATTCTTATAATAATTAAAATTTTAAGTTATTTTGGATGGTTTCACAATAGCTCCTGAGGAACATTATATATTTAAAAACTCTTTCTATTTTCATTGCTTCTCTTTAATTTTATTTCTTGCTTATTATTCTCCTTCATACTAAACTCCTAATTGAAACCTCCATTCCATGCCTTCACCCTCCTTTTATTTATCCAGCTCACACAAAATGTTCCCACTAACTAGGGGTGTAAACGGATACGACTCCGATCTGATCCATAACCATATCAAATACGAATTTGGATATCTTAACTAAACTTTGTAAATGGATATTTTTTATTGATATGGATAAACAGACAAGAATACGGATATTGCTATTTTATTTATTACAATTGCGTTTTGGAAGTGATTATCATATGTTTAGTTGGTATGCGGATTGTGCTTTCTTCATGTAATTAATTGTGCATTTTAGACTTATTATGGTCAATATTATGTAATACTAGATTATTTTACTTATAGTGATAGAGAAAAGTTTTCCCTTTGCGTAATGCACTTTGGTTATGACCATTTGAGAATTGAATTATCTTGGTTGTTTTAGATATTGTACAAAATTCTTTGGAATTGATAGTAGGCAATATATTTCAAATAGTAAGTACTTGTACAATTCTTTGGAATTGATAGTAGGCAATATACATCAAATAGTAAGTAATGTTATTATCTCTATGATGCAAAATAAAGAAATTAATATTTTTTTATATATCTAGTTCATGTTTGTTTGCCAAATATCCGATTCATATTCATAATTGTATCCATATTCGGTTCCTCTAATATCTGAACCATGTCAGTTTTTTTTTTTGGTAGATACAAATATGACTTTTTCTTCCCGAAGGAAACCCGCATCTATTTTTAGCATGTAGATATAGACATAGCAAGTGTCATATCTAAACCGTATCTAATCCATTAGCAACCTTACCATATGCCAAACATATTTCTTTATTTTGAGCCCCAAGAATATCAAAAACCTCTATAAACCTTTCAACTTTGCACTAATATCCCCCTCACTTCATTTACAAGCCCAAAGACCCAAGATAGGTCCCACCACTGCTTTCAATCTTATTTATAAGAAATCAGATGAATTTAGTTTCATATGAGATTTGTACTTCTATCCAACATGTTTGAAGAATGTGCACAAAATGAGATGTTTGTACTTTTGTTTTCTATAGAATGATGCGTAATAGATCTCAATGGCAAGAAAAAAATTAAGATCCTTAAAATCAATATGATAAATTATTGTAATCTACAGACAACAAAATGCAATATATGAACACGATTCACTATTTTCTTTATCTAGAGAAATTTTAGAAAAGATAACAAGTTGCTATAAGAAGTTAGAAAAAGTGGTGGCCTTTACCAAGACATAAGTCACGCATACAAGGTCTAAGTAGTTCCTTCTATAAAGTTACAAACGTATTTTGGTCTTTGCTTTGTATTTCTGGATAACACTAACAAACACTATGTTATCTAGGTACTTCCAATCTGAAGTTGTACTTATATCCAAACTCCTTAGACACTCCTTGCATATATGCATACATTTATTAGGGAATGTACTCAACTATACAATACATGTTTTAATTTAAAACACTTGTCACACACTTTGCGGACGTATATCCTACACTTCACATCCAATTCTTAAAACTCGTTGGATATAGGTCAAGTTAAGAATTATAATTTTGAAAGATCACTTGGATGTCTAGTTCAAAACCAGTGATTTTCCAATTTATAATCAACATAATAAAAGAAACATGAAAATGCTATAAGAATTTTAATTCTTATAGATGTGCTCATATAAATTATTAATTCCAATATATAGTACATGTGTATATAAATATTTGTATAGTCGTGCGTGTCCCGTATAAGTACCCGTACCCTAAAATAAAATTTGGTACTTCGATTACTACATCTTTCAGGAAATGTAATAACATTTATAGTTTTAGGCATTAACTAAAAGAGTTATTAACTACATAATGTTTCGATTAATGGATGGTAAAAAAATTAAAAAGATTAATTTTTATCTATTTTATTATTTTATAATCTCTTCCATTTTAAAGTATGTAAAAGAAAGTCTGCAAATTTGATGGAATTTTGACAATTCATAGATTTTTAAAATCCATAGCAAATTTCTTTTAGCACATAATGAAAATAATACACTCAATTAGCGACACAATACCAACAGCTCTAACTCCGAAGTATGGTTTAGTACCTCAACTCTAGCTCTTGAAAAAAAATATAGTGGTATTTATGATTTTAGGCATTTATCAACAAAGTTACTTACTAATTACATAATTTTCAATAAAGGAGGTGGAATGGGAAATTGAATGGAAACAATGGCAATAATCTATTTTATGATGATACTATCTTCCATCTTAAGGTATGTAAAAACAAAGTCCATGAGTTTTTATTTTATTTTTGACAATGCATATATTGTACAATCTCTAGCAGTTTCCTTTTATATACATTATTTATAATCGAAACACAAGTACACAGTACTCCACATTTATGATTCTGTGATGATCAAATTAAGAAATACTATAATACAAATCCAAAACAAAAAACTGAAGTTAAAGGTGGCAGTTGATCAGTTTATATTTTATCAGAAATTAGGCATTGTGATATTGAAAGGGCAGCTTCATATAAACGTGTCCTATGAGAAAATGAATGTCAAGAAAAAGAAATCACATATTCAAGAAGGTTTCATATAGTGCAGATAGCTGACAAACAAAGAAGAAATCTTATAAGCAATAATAATAGTAGTTGAAGAAGAAAACAATATGATATGAGTGATTAAGTTCATGAGAATTCACTCAACCGGTGAGTACCGCGGTAGCTTACATTAGTTCAAGCTAGTCTCTCTTCCTAAAAATAAGTAATAAACCTGTGAGTGAGAGTTAACTACCAAATTTAAACAGCATCTAGGATACACATTCATGGTACATGAAGCCAGAATAAACAATTTTCTAAGTGCACAACTTATTAAAAAAATATTAAAAATCAGCAATTTTCTGTACACCCACGAAGAATATAAGACTTACCCAAATGTTCCCATGACACGCGTTGAAACATGTGAATGGGCATCATTTGCTAGTTTTGCAAGGCCGAAATCAGCAACCTGTAATAGTTTAGATTAGAAGATGGTGAAGCTAAAGCTAAAAATTCTTGCAAGATTGATGTACAATCTATGTTTAACATGAAAAGAAGTAGTGTATTATAACTATACCTGGGCTTCAAAAGATTCATCCAAAAGAATATTTGCAGATTTTATATCTCTGTGTATTATTCGTGGGTGACCTAAAACAAAGAAAATATATATATGACCAGATAATTCTAAGTAATATCTTTATCATGATGACAGACAGTCACACTTACAATCTTGATGCAAATATGCCAATCCACGAGCAGAACCAATAGCGATTTTCACTCTTTTTGTCCAATCCATAACAGGCAAGTTTTTCTCTGATTAATAAGAGTAGAGCCATATTAAAAATATTTAAAGCATAATAATACCTGATTAATTATTATGAGGCCAAATCCTACTCGAATCAAATTACCATGCAAATGATACTCTAAAGTTTTATTTGGAAGGTAGTCATACACAAGCAACCGCTGGTTCTCATCTATGCAGTGTCCCACAAGAGAGACCAAATGACGATGGTGAACACGACTGATGATCTCAACTTCCGCTTGAAATTCCCTATGGCCCTGTCCACTCCCAACTTTAAGTTGTTTCACTGCCACCATTCTCCCGTCTGACAGGCAACCCTTATACACGCAACCAAATCCACCCTCACCAAGGAGATTTTCTTTAGAAAATCCATCAGTGATATTCCTAAGCTCGTCATAGGTAAACCATAACTTGGATCCCCCAGAGTCTGGCATCACAGGGTACCCAGCAAAATTTTGAAATTGGGCACCAAGAACAGGAGATACTGCTGGTTTTGAAGCATAAAGCATATCTGAGAAGGAAAAAAATTGTGTGATTATGTTAGCTGGAACTACAAGATCTGCATAAGAGTTTGCATAAAGCAGTCAATTACCTGGTTGTAAAGCCAAGCTATTAGGTGGAGGATTGTATGGGCGCTCCAAATTGTTTGTTGTTTTTTTCCTCCTCTTCTTTAAGAAGAAAATAATCACAACGAACACAGCAACTATTGCTCCCGCAACAGACCCTGCAGCGATAGCTCCAGTTGCAAAATCATTTCTAGAATTCGGTGACCTGCTTGAAGACGGAGGAGATGACCCACTGGGAGATGGAGGAGAGACCCCCTTTGGAGATGAATGAGATGTCCTGCTTGGAGATGGAGGAGACAACCAGCTTGGAGTTGGGGGAGACAACCCGCTTGGAGATGGAGGAGACAACCGGGTAGGAGATAGATGTGATGGAGGGCCACCCGAGTTCGTGGATGTGTTCGGCGTCGTGCCTGGCTCGGGGTTAGGGGGGACGGCAGGAGGAAGATTAGACGGAGGGGGAGATGAATGGTGGTTACTATTGAGTGGTGGTGGTGGTGAGAAAACAACTTGTGACGAAGGTGGAGGGGGAATGTAGGTTGGAGGAGGAGGAGGAAATGATTGAGATGGACTGGGAGGAGGAGAAGGGGACGGTTGCGGAGGAGCCTTAGGTTCCGCCGGTGGAGGGGGCAAAGGAATAGGAGGCAGCGGCGAAGGATCAGGAGGAGGTTGGGATTCGGGCGGGGGTGGAGAAGGCCTTACGGAAGGAGGAGGTGAGGGGCTTGGTGGAGGTAAAGAAGGAGGCGGCGGAGATTGAGGTAGAGGTTGAGGAATGTTCTCGGATGTTCCATTTGAATTTGAAGCGTTAGAAGGAGGAGAAGGAAGGGAAGGGGATTGAGGAGGTGAAAGAGGAGGAGAAGGAAAAGGAGGAGGGGTCACCGAAGATGAATTCGAATTTGAATCGGGAGGGGGTGCTGGGTTTGAAGCTGGTATCGGAACCGAATTCAAATTGGGAGGTGAAGGGTTTGTCGTGTTTGCAGTTGAAACATTAGGAGGAGGAGGAGAAAAGGAAGCTTCAAGAGGAAATGACGACATTTCCTCGATCTCACGGCCTCTTCTTTCTCCTTCTCCTTCCCTTTCTATGCCCAGTTGCTGCTGCTTGATTTTTCTATCAATTTTGATTGCAATTGCGGATGCAATTGTAATGTATAGGGTAAAAGATCAACAAAAGGAACAACAATTGTACCTTTATCTTCTCAAAAATGAAAATACACAGATAAATTGGGATCAAAACCAATCAAAGATTTCTCGGCAATAAGCATGAAAATGAAATTCGTCAAACGAAACGAGAAGGGATCAGGATGAACAAAAGGAGCCCTAAACCTAAAAGATGGAACAAGAAAAGGCCAATGTTCTTACCTCATTCGCTCCTGATATTTTTTTCTCCCCCCTCAAATAAAAAGTTGTCCTCTTGAATTAACCATTGAAATAATATTTCGCTTGACACCGGGGAGTGCTGCAACAAAAGGGACATAATTCCCAAAAATAGGAAGGAGAAGAAGGAAGAACAAGCCCAAAATCGACTCTCGGTCCAGAAATAACAAAGCCCTCAACAAACTCCATTTCTCTCGGCGCTGCATTACCATCGCTCTCCCAGTTTCCCCTCTTCAAGCCACTCGGATTTCTTGCCATCCTGGATTTTTTTGCCAACTTCCCCTCCCCCTCCAGACACTCAAGAGTGACAACTTAGCACTTGCTATGTATACGTCGGCATGGAGAAATTTTCAAATCGACCTATTCTCAAATTTATTAAATAAAAAAAAAAGACCCCACCCACTTTTATTTAGAAAAGTTGATCCAATTATGTCAACATCGTTGCTAGAAACTAGTCGATAAAAAGAAAAAGCAATATCATAATTAGTCAGTCTTGGCAATCCCCGAACCAATTAGAAGCCAGTTCCAATTGAGGGGGATTACCAAACCCAACTAATACAACTTAAAGCCAAATATTCTCGGGATTGCCAACCCTGACCAAAATCGTCTGGTTTGGCAACCAAGGTTATTTGGTAGGGAGCGCCCATGTAGTTCCCCTTCTCGCTGAATTGCAGATTTGTCTAAGTGATGAAATAGTCGGGGTTTCTAACCCCAACTATTTATGTTGCGCTCGCCACTTACATGTACGTACCCAACACTTCTCCCCTCATGTATCATTTTGTTCTCTCTCTCTCTCTACCTCCAATACTTCTCTTTTTCCTCCGCCTATATGAGTCACACAACTCCCTTTTTACGCCCAAATTCGACAAGAACCGTTGTCGAAGATCTCTAGGTAATTTCTCTTCCTTCTCTCTCCTTCAACATTTAAAAATCTAGAGTTTTTCTCTCTTCTTCAACATTTAAATCTAGAGTTTTCATCAAAATCCAATTTTTAGGGTTTAAAATTTAATATCAATTAGATATCTTTGTGGTGATTGTCAGTTTTTGTGTGTAGTATACTTAAATTTAAATTGAAATTCTAGAGCATAGAATGCTCATATTGGGGTTTAGGATTTTCACTTATTTATTTAAGGTTTTTGATTAAAATTAGAGCTATATTTATGAGATTGTTGCATTGCATATATGGATTATGAGATTGTTTGCATCTAGGGTTTTCCTCTCTTATTCAATGGCATGATAATATTTTTTAAAAATTATTTAAATGGTATAATCTAATTTTTTCGATGTTGAATAATATGACTTTTATTGCTTGTCCTTTCAGTGGAAAAATTAACTATAGAATAAATAATATACCAATGTACATTGGAAGGGTAACGACACCGTTAATGATCTCAGAATCATGTAGTTACTGATAGGGTAAAAATGATAACCAAAGTTACAAGCGCACAATTATCAAGTTATAATATAAAAAAAGGTCGAATCCCACGAGGAAGGTGTTGTAGGAATTAATCAAAAGCGATTCTTAAGATGTGTGTGTGACAATTAGGAGTGAAACATGTGATTTGTGGAGAGATAAAGAGAGTGGTTGTGATTATATGCAAATGAAAACAAAACAAGATTGAGAGGGGATAAAGATATAGAAAGGGGAATAAAACCAAGAAGCAAATAAAGAAAAATCAAGAGCAAAGAGGAAATTCAAGAAAGTAAAGATGGAGGATTCAATTAGAGATATGAGAAATCTAGAATTAAATCAACTAGCTAATTTCACTTATAAATTCATGAACTATTCTCTTTTTACCATATTTTATTTTAGATTTATTAAGTATAGATTATCCTATCACTTAAGACAAGCATAACCTATCATATTATCATCCAAGTAAAATTAATACTCGTGAAAAAAACAACAACTAGATAGTAATTCTAGAATTCATTAGCAGAACATATCCTACTACTCAAGGCAAGCATAGATTATCCAATTCTTTTTCTACCAATTAGTTCTCTAGTTGATTATTTTGAACATGATCATTTTAAGCGCAAGAGAGTAATTCACAATTCATAAAAAAATAAAACTAGTTTCATACAATTCTAGAATTACTACAAGGATTTAGTTCCACATCTTAGAAAATAAAAGCAAAATAAAAATTAAAGAGTATGAAGGAAGGAAAATAAACTAATTACAAAAAGAAAAAAGAAAAATAAATAAATAAAGATCTAAACTATGAGCAAAAAGAAAAGAATAATAAAGGAAATCTAAACTATGAAAAAATGTAAATCTATACTACAAAATAAATACAAGAAAATAAAGATATTGAAAGTAAATCAATAAAGATATTGAAAGTAAATCTACTCTACCATGCATCAAAATAAATTTAATTCAAGAGGGTTCTAGCCACTTGAATATCTAAAGTAAGAAAAGAAAATATTACAAGAAAATAAAAAAGATAAAAGAGAAAACTTACATTCTAAGAGGTTTTAGCCTCTTGATGAAGGCAAACCTTCATCTTGATCTCCATCTTCATCTCATCTTCATCTTTATGATCAAACAAAGAGAAGAAAAGAAAAATATGAAGAGGTGAAAGAATTATTTTATTAATTACAACAAAAAAAATCATAATTTTAGAAGGTCTTCTCAATTAAGAGTAACCATCCACTCCAAATAGAGTTTTTATAAAAAAAATCACACTCAAACCCCTCACCTTCTACCCCTATTTATAGCCTACAATAATGATTGTGAACCATTAGATTTTACTTGGGCTCCAAAGATCAAATCTCAGCCATAAAACGAGTTTGTTACGGACCAATTGGTCAGCCAATCGGTTGGCCGAGCAATTAGAATTCTAAAATTCTAAAAATGCAATTAGCTCTGTTTCATCGAGTTATGTGATTTTTATATATTATATATTAAATTTCACCTTCCGGGTTTAGAGATATCGTTGTTTCTTTATGGCAAATATTTTGAACATGGTTTTCACTTGATTTCTTTTCATATTTGATCCTTGTTTTTAGGCTTCTGTAGACTGCTTGGCTTGATCTCGATTTTCAATAAAAGGTTAAAAATGAGAAAATTTGAGTTTTTTTGAGCTTTTGTTCATTACTTCTTCATTAACCTACAAATTAAGATAAATATGTTTATTAGCGATATTTTTATTTAAAAAAATATATAATGAGGGTAATAAATATAATAAAAATGTGATTATCAAATACATCCACAACTAAACTTTTACTAGTCCTCTAGCAAAGAGAGAGATTAAAAGAAGAAAAAAAACCCTAGCTCACTTTCACAGAAATCGCGGTTATATTTAGCGCATACAACAAGCCTTTAAACCCCTAGGTTATCCTAGAGGACGAGTTGTAGTCACGTGAGGGTTTACAGTGAATATACCCATAAAACACAATAAACTTGCCAATTTAAAGAAGTTAGTGAATAGTTAATTTAATTGATACATTTAAACATTCTAATTGAAGCTAGTTTTTACTCAAGAAAACATTTTTATGTATAACTCTAAGGCAAATCTCTTAGTATCTTTTCATTATAGTCATACAAAATCAAGTCTAACTTGGAAATTTAATTTAAAAGTTTTGAAAAGAACATGCTAACTCTTTGTTTTAAATAATTTTAATTCTCTTAATCAAAATTATTTTTTAAGAACATATATACAAATATAATTATATATATAAAAACATGGTTAATATGTTTTTTTAATCTTTATGCCTTGGTGATTTTGTTCTACTTCATCGGGCTTTCTAAGTGACCATTTAATGAGTTTTGGGCTAATGAATTCTAACCTAATTGGGCTTAAGTTATTAAGCATGGAAATACTCCCTAGGCTTAATTAATCAGTCAACTTAGGCTTATAAGATAGAATCACCTTGAGTTTCAAGAGAGTTTTTAGAGGTGCCCATTTTTCACACTCTTCTTTTTTAAAATTAGTTTATATATATATATATATATATATATGAAAAATATTTAAATCAAGATAACTTAAAATTTTATTTTTAACTCTAAGCTAGGAATGCAAAAATTTTATTACTTTAATTAAAAGTCTGAGTTAAGACTTAAGCAAAGTATACTACTTTGAAAATCATTTCTTAAGAAATGTATTTAAAGATATCATAAAATGTGACATTGAGTACAAACTAACTAAGGATTAGAAATTTTAAATTTTATCAAATAGATCAATTATTAATCACCTCCATTAAGTTGGCAAGTGACACTATTTTTATGAAAAAGGAAAAAATGATAATAAAAAATTGTAAAATAAAGAGGAAAAATGACTAAGACAAATATGAAAATTAACTAGTCTCCATCCCCACACCTAAATTTTTGCATTGTCCTCAATACAATTTCTATGATGAACAAAGTAAAGCAGATGAGAAATAAAACACTTACATTTGTTCGGCCGACGTAGAACAATGATGAAATGATAAAATATGTAATTACCTTTGGTGTGAGGAGGATGAAGTCAAAAAAATTTCTTTCCTTTCTTTTATTTTTATTTTTATTTTTCAAAAAAAATCATATATATATATATATATATATATATATATATTTATATTTATATTTTTTTTCATAACCCTATATTTATATTTATATTTATATTTTTTTTCATAACCCTCTTTTTTCATATCTTTTTTCCTTTTCTTTTTTTTCATTTTGTTTGTTTACAAAAGAACAAGAAACTCTCAATGAGAGAAGAATATCTTTTATTATTATTTATACTATTATGAGACAAAAAGTGTAGATGTAGAATAACAGATTGAACATGAAAGCTCATATTCTACATCAAATGCTACCTTATTGCTGAAAATTCTACCCTGGATTTTAAAGAAGTCTAAGATGATGAAGTCAAAAATGTGCATAAATTCTATGTATTCTGAAGGTTTCAATAAATTCTGCATCAATTGAAGGTACGTATCAATGGTGTCATGCATTTTGAATTTTTGATTGAACTTAGATTCTTTATTTAAGAAAGCTTGTTCTATCACAACCAATTATTCTTTAAAAAAAATTCTCAACCCCAAGATTCATGGTTGAGGTATGAAAATTTGGTTGCTGTTTGTTTTCTAGGATCCTAAGTTCATCCTCAAATAGTTCTTCAAAACTAAGATCAGATAAATATGCATCAAACATAGTTCATGTTCTGTGAGACCAAATCTAATTCTATTGCTTCTAACATCTTTAGTTCCACACCAAAAATTTTCTCCAAACTCAGATCTGACTCATTCTCTTCTTCTACCTCCTGATGGTAATTTATTTCTTGAGGTTGATTAGTTGGCTGGTCTGCTGTATTAAAAATGTTAATACCAGCAATCATATTTTCAAAGGATA